GAGAGAGAGAGAGAGAGAGAGAGAGAGAGAGAGAGAGAGAGAGAGAGAGAGAGAGACTCGACAAGGACGGCGACAGCGACGGCAATGGCGGCACACACGGCGTAGGAGACGCTCCGTCCGCGGCGTGGGACATGTGGCGCGTCGCTCACGGGCGGCCGTACGTACGGAAGCACCGTACGTACGCCCGTAAGTACGCAGGCGTGGCCGTCCGTACGGCCCGTACACCTAAGGCTTCGGAGGGTTCGGGGCGCGTTCAGGGGGGGGGGGGGGGGGGGGGGTTCGGGCCTTGTCAACGTTGGGGCCACTTCTAGGGTGTGAACTATGGCGCCCAAAAAAGGGAGGGGAGAGCAGCCGTTTGTCCCAGTCAGTAAGGACAAACAGAGGCAGGCGGAGCTCAAGTTCTGCGGATTCAAGTGGATAACGAAGGGGCAAACAATGTCGGACTCCAATGGGAATTTTCTCATGGAGTGCAAGTTGTGCGGCCGGGGTTTTCAGGGCAGTCAATCGAAGGCCGCACAACACTTCACAATAAAGAACAACTGCGCTAAGGTCACCGCGGAGCAGCTCGCGGAGATCTGGAACAAGACAAACTACCTGTTCAATCAGAGCCACCATCGGAAGATTATCGACTTCCTGAGGTCTCGTGGGTTTCGAGACAATAGAAATACTTCAGGGAGGGAGCAGTCGGGGGAGGAGTATGACGACAGCGAGCAGGAGAGGAGGGCGGCCGAGGGGGGAGGTGATGATAGTGACAGTGATTCACAGGACATGGACGTGCGGCAAGAGGAGGAGCGCGCTAGGGGAAAGATGAGGGGGGACAAGGCTGTTGCCGAGGACAGCACCCCAGACGAGCACGACGACGACGACGATGACGACGATGATCAGGGTGCAGACCTTGGGGCGTCTCTTGATGAGGGTCTGATGGCCGCTGGCTGTCGTGGCCAAGAGGGGGCTGCCAAAGCGATGAAGGACGTCGTGCAGTCGAAGAAGAGAAAGACGAAGGCAACGACACCAGCTCCTCCTCTGCAGAAGAAGGGCAAAGTCCTTCAACAGACTTCCATGATAGAGACCTTCGATCTGGCGTGGCAACGAGATTTTACAAACGAGTTCCTGCAGTGGTGGTACGTGAGCGGGATTCCATTCGAGGCGGCGAGGAGGCCGGAGTACCAGCGAGTGAGGAAGCGGTTGCTCGAGTGTCCACTGTATACACATCCTGCGTTGCCCACACACCGTCTCATTTGCGGCGATGGTATTCCACAGCAGCAGCGAGTTGTGGCGGAGATGGTGGCGGTCGTCCGCAAGGACATTGCGGCGACGGGAGTGACGATCCTCACGGATGGTCGCAAGTCCATCACTAGCGACCAAATCGTCAACTTCCTTGCCGCTGGGCCCACGGGAGCCTACCTTTTCATGACTGTGCAGTGTGACGGTGCTGTCCAGGAGACAGCCGAGGTGGTGGTGGAGCGATGGAAGGACGTGTTCGACAACTTTGGTGTCGAAAACGTCAACGCCATTTGCACGGATTCTGCGTTCGCGTATGTGGCTGCATCCAAGCTCCTGGCGAAAGAGGACGTCAAGTACAGTCGCATTACTTGGCTTCCGTGTGCGGTGCATGTCTGCAACTTGTTGTCAGACATTGCGAAGGACGACACCCCCGGGAAGCTTGGGAAGAGGGAGGGCACCATCATCAGGGCTCGAGCAGTCGTGCGGCTCATCAAAGAGCACGGGGCGGCTCTAAGCCTTTACCGACGGTTCTCTGCCGCCCACCCCTCTTCCGCCTTCGCAGTTGCGGCCAGTTCCAGCGCTGCACCACCCTCGTCTCAGCGGCGAGGCAGAGAGCTTGTGTACCCCACACAGACGAGGTTTGCTACCCACTACTTGATGCTGGAGAGGTTGTTGGATCGTCGCCGAGAGTTGGAGGCGCTGATGATGAGCGACGACGGGTTGCGGACTGCATGGAGGAGGTCCATTTTCTTGCAGGCCAGGTGGGTGCGTCATCAGGTGCGGTACCGCCGGTACGCGCCATTTTGGGAGCACGTGGAGGACATCGTGGAGCTCATGACGCCTGTGATGCAGCTGTTACGCCGTCTGGACAGAGGGGGGCGCGTGATGACTCGCATGTGGTCGTGGGCACTTGCCATGATCGACAGGGTGGCGAGGGCGAGACTGAACAGGACGTCGAGGGAGGAGCTCAACATCGTTGTTTAGGCTTGTCACGTGCGGGCCGATCATATTTTGGAGCCCGCACATTGCATCGCCCACCTCCTCAACCCTCGCCACAGGAGCATTACGTATTTTGGAGTGGCGAGGCGCAGCGAGCACGACAAGATACTCGCGGAGGAGTCACTTCGATACCTTTGCCAGCAGACTGGCGGAGATGAGGACTTATATCAGACGCTGCGCATGCAGTTGGCTGAGTTTCTTAGCCGGGAGGGCGACTGGACGTACGGGGGGGTTGAGGGTGACAGGGACGCGGCCTCCTACAGAGGGGAGAAGGAGACGTCGCAGGTGGGGCAGTGGTGGGTTCAGCACGGGGACGGGGTCCCTCTCCTTCAGACTTACGCCATTCGCCTGACACACACATGGACGTGCGCCTCTCCAGCAGAGAGGAACTGGGCCGTCCATGAGCGTGTTCAGGTGAAGAAGCGTAACCAGCTTGGTTTTATGAAGCTGGCTCGTTTGGTGGAGATATCCACCAACTTGAGATTGAGTTGTTGTCAGGGGAGGGATTCAGGGTACGTTCTGCCATGGGAGGACGCCAAGGAGGAGACAGAGGACAACATTCCTCCGCCTCGTGACGAGGGTGTTCGGCCAGCTCACCAAGTCACGGAGGCGCAGCGTGAGCGGCAGGTGCAGCGAGGGCGGAAGGATCGCCTTTCCAGGGCTCCGCCCAGCGTCGAGACATATTTCGGTCTTCGCGCCACGGTGCTCATGCCGACTGAGTTGGACGCCGTGTACGATCCCGAGTCGGATCCTATGGCTCAGGACCCGATGGAGGCGAAGCCGTGGTCCGATCCAGACGACCTGGCAGTGGAGTCTGAGCCCGGAGATTCCGATGATGGTGGCGACCATGATCCTCTCGCCGAGATGTTGCGTCCTCGGATGCGTGCTTCCACTGCATCCGCTGCGCAGCATTCTCCTCCGCCTCCACCCCCGCCCCCGAGTCCGCGTCCTTCCACTGCGTCCGCTGCGCAGCATCCTCCTCCCCCTCCACCTCCGCCCCGAGTGTGTGTGCTTCCACTGCTTCCGCTGCACAACATCCTCCTCCCCTTCCACCTCCGCCCCCGAGTGCGCGTGCTTCCACTGCAACCGCTGCGCAGCATCCCCCTCCGCCTCCACCTCCGCCTTCGAGTGGTTGTCTCCCACTGGAGCCGCTGCGCTTCCTGCGCAGCTCCCCCTCTACCTACAGATCGTCCAGGACATGGCGAGCAGGGGACTCGCGACATCGTTGACGAGCGAGACGACGACGACGACGATGATAGAGAGGGGTACGAGGGCAGCAGTGAGGACGAGGATGATCCCGTGTATTCCCCGAGACGCGGACGTGGTGACGCCGACGATGCCGACGACGAGGGCGGCGATGGTACGCAGGCTGCAGGTGGTTTGCGGAGGTCGGGTTGACATTGTGCCGACCGATGCAGTGGTGCAGGCAGGGGGGACAGTGGTGGAAGCAGGGGTGTGGGGGGCGCAGGACACACAGAGGGTGCAGGCCGTGGTGGCGGAGGACGGGCGAGGCGAGAGTCTGCATCCTCCACTCGTACTGTGCATTGGGTTGATGAGGGTGCCGCGACAGGAGAGGTTGGCGCCGGGTCGGCTGAGTTTGCTGCTGCGTCGGCAGAGGCCGCTGCAGAGGCCGCTGGAGAGTTCGCAGCGGCGTCTGAGGAGGTAGCAGGAGGCTTTGCAGAGGTTGCTGGCAAGGCTGCGCAGGTTGGGAGGGCTTTTGCACAATTGGGTGTCAGTTTCAGTGGTATTCTTGATGTTTCGTTGGGGCTTCCTCCGACACCGGCAGGCGAGCATGGCAGTGGTGACGCAGCAGTTACGCCCATCAATCAGATACTCCGGGATGTACCTTCATGCAACATGGGTGACATCAGTAGCAGCATGTTGCAGGAGGCAGCAGCGGGGACACAGTGTTCGTTGGGGCAGGAGGAGTGTGCAGCAGGGGACGGTGGGGATTGTGGACCTGAGAAGGAGCGAGTGCCAGAGTCGGAGCAGGACATGATCGACTGCGAGGAGAGGGAGAGGGCGCAGGACATGGCTAGCCGTTGCGAGATGACACAGAGTATTGCGTCGAGGGCACGGGCAGAGTGGATGGTAGAGACGGGCGATAATGAGGGTCATCGTGCGACGGACGATGCAGTGCTTGAGTGTGGAGGCGCGGGCGCCAGGGATGCATGCGAGAGACCCACGTCGACGGTTCAGGGTGTTTGTATATTGCCTATCGGTGGAGCCATGACGGCGGAGGAGTTAGAGCGGTAGGTACGAGAGGACCCATTGCAGGCAGATCAGCGCGGACGGATGGACGAGGCGTCGAGGAGGTTAATGGTAGAGGCCCCAGCATACGTGCCCGGCAGCCCGTCACTGCCATCGTCCACCACTGGTGCCACTACCTCCGTACATGGTGAGGGTCCAGTCACGGGACGGATTACCGCACCGGCACCTGCAGAGTCTCCTTCTTCCAAATCACGGAAGAAGAAGATAAGAGCAGGTAAGAGTCTCAGTACTGTGAGGAGGGTGACGCATGCGATGCGGGAGACTCAGCCCGGGCTGGCCGGTTTACATTCGCGGACTCGAGAGGCATTGGCCCTGGACGTTGTCGCGGAGACAGTAGGTTGGCGGGAGAGGGGCTCTAGCCGGGCGACGGAGCAGCCCATCACAGCACCTGTTGAGGCGGAGATGCCATGTACTGGGGGGCGCACAGCAGGTAGGGGGGAGGAGGCGGAGCACAGCGGCCCCCCCGAGAGGAGCATGGTCGGACGTATATTGGGGGAGGATGTGAGGACGGTGCCTGCGCAACGACCGTCACAGGCAGGAGTCGTTTTGGAGTCCGGTACCAATGATTTGGAGGTGCCTCGTGGCCAGGGGAGAAGGGCTTCCGTGTACGACCTTCTTCGAGCACATCACGGGGTTGATGCGGCGCCACAGGGGGGTGTTCATGCTCCGGATACTGCGCACGGGCCGGTAGGCGGCACAGGTGGCAGCGATGGTGTCAGAGGTGCGGTGCCGCAGAGGAGGAGGAAGGACATTGTGGACGACGATGATGTTTAGTCCCACCATTAGTCCTCTTTTATCCTGTATTTCTTAGTAGTGTATATCATACGTAGTGCTTCGGATGACGTGATGTGTTCATAGGTATAGTGTTTATTAGATTTGTATTTGTACACATGGTTAGACTACTGCACAGTTGTCCATACACAGGTGGGGTAGGTGCAGATTGTTGTTTCTTTTTCATTTTATTTTTGCATCGATGTTTCAAAGGATTGCACTCTATATTTAGACATGGGCGCAGCATCTACAACGCTTGCATTATTTTTGTTTTCCTTCTGCTTTGTTATCGATGTTTCAGACGATTGCATATTGTATTCATACATTATTTGATTGAGTTCAATCTTCATGCTTCATTTATTGTTGTGTATGTATGGTGCAGTTGTTTCGTGTCACGGGACGGATTGCCCTGTAATGTTGTACTTTATAAATTTCAGCAACGATTGTCACTCGCACATGATATTCAATGAGTCAATGTTTTTGAAAACTGTTTGTAATTGTTATTGTTTGAAGT